CCTTGCACTGTAATGAAATGCTTCTTCTAATTATGTGGTTATTAAATAAATAAATTTTTTTAAAAGGTTAAGATGTTATGAATGAAATACACAGAAACTCGATAAAAAGTTTATCAAAAGAAATAAAGCAGCCCAGGTTTATGAGTATAAGTACAAATATTTAGAAGGCAACACTATGCCATTTAGCAGAATAACAGCACTAGGTTCTACCCTAGGACAAGGACCTACTCAGCCATGAGTTTTTCACCAGGATTACAGTGCAAGGAATGAAATTCTTTCCTGTGGAGAGAATTATATTCTCAAATCCAATTAGAACACTTGTATCACTAAACTTTAAGTCGTTTAAAACAATGTCATCTTTGAGTCTTGAATGCTTGAAATAAGATAGACCCAAGCTGGGTGTGGTGGCACATGCTTTTAGTCCCAGCATTCAGGTGGCAAAGGCAGGTGTATCTCTGTGAGTTCAAGGCCAGCCTGGTCTACATAGTGAGTTCCAGGCCAGCTGGGCCTACAGGGAGACACTGTTTCAAAAAGACCAAAAAATAAATGATGGATTCAATTGAGTGTATTGAAACATAACCAAATATACTGCTGTGAACCTAACAACCTTTGGGTGTCTAGGAGAAAATAAATGGCATGATACCAATAAAAGATATGTTAGTCTCTCAGAAATAATACATTGGTAATGAGACTATAAAAGATAAGTGTTAAAACATTCTATTCTGATCAATAAACCATATCTTGTAAAACAGTATTTAGATAGCTAAAAAGGATTTATTTGGAATTTGGATTTTTACGTTAGTTTTTTGATGTGTAAAAATATTTACATACAATAGAACATTTAAATAACATTACACACAAAAAGTGCCACTACTACATCGCTACATGTGTTCTATCAGTCACCATAGTTGTTATTGGGCTTTGAAGTTGGGATTGGACCATTGATTGATTTTTCTCCCTTAGCAGCTTGCATAGTATCCTTTAGAATTATGAGAGTTAGACTTCAGGGAGGTGAATTCCAGGTCAGTTCCAGCTCCATTGCTCCAAGTCCTGTGTCCAAAGTATTTCCTGTCTTCTGCAATAAGGCTTACCTTAAAGTTCTGTGAGGTAATTAAGGGATGTGGCAATAGCCTGTGTTACTTGGAGATTCTCTTGGAATACCCTGTCTGGCATACGCATGCACTCATGTACAGATATTGTATGTGTATTTTTCAGGAGGGGTTGAGTTAATACAGTCAACCATATTTTTTACATCAACTAAGCTTCAGTTATCTCTGGTTTTTTATATCACCTAAGCTTTAGTTATCCCTCCTCTCACTCTCCCTGTCTAACCTCCCTCCCCCTTCCCCAGTTGAAGTATGCTCATTTCCACCATTTTCCCCTTGATTACCTCTTATTCCTATTATTCCCCCTCTCATGAGTTCCTTCTTCCCATTTACTACCATGGTTCCTTGTATGTCTTTCCCTCCTCTTTCTCAGTTGAATACCTTCATTTTCCCCACTTCCCCCTTGTTAATGTGTTTCTGACTATTTATCTCTCTCTCTCTCTCTTTCTCTCTCTCTCTCTCTTTCTCTCTGGCTCTTTTTTCTGTTTACATCTGTGCTTCCTTTTTATTTTCCTTGTTCTTGCTGTAATATTAGCAATGGATGACATACACCTGGAGATTAAATTATTCCATTGTGGAACATTCTCAGGGCACTTTTAATGTCTCTGTTCCTCAGGCTGTAGATGAAAGGATTCAGCATAGGGGTGACCACAGAGTACATGATTGAGGACACAGCACTGTTTCCAGAAGAATGTGAAAGAATGGATCCAATATACACACCAATACCTGTTCCCCAAAATAAGAAAACCACTGAGAGGTGAGACCCACAGGTGGAGAAGGCTTTAGACCTCCCACTTGAGGATGGCATGCTCAGAATGGAGGACACAATTTTGTAGTAAGAAAAAAGGATCCCTGACATGGGAAACATACCATACACGATACTAACTAAATATTGAACTATGCTCTTTGTGAAGGTGTCATAACAAGAAAGATTAAGGACCTGAGAAGGGTCACAGAAGAAGTTAGCAATTTCAGCATCCTTGAAGTTGGTCATCTGTAATGCAACCAAAAGATGTAGCTGGGTCTCCAGAAAGCTAAGTAAAAAAGACACCAGAAGTAAAGTGACACAAAGACGAGGGTTCATGATGACATGATAATTCAAGGGATGGCAGATGGCCACAAATCGGTCATAGGCCATCACAGTCAGAAGCATGCCATCCATACATGCAAAAGTGATATAAAAAGACATCTGAGTGAGACAGCTGACATAGGAGATGACTCTGCTGTGGATTTGGATGCTCACAATAAAATTTGGGACTGTAGTAGAGATTAAACCCATATCAGCCCAGGACAAGTTGGAGAGGAAGAAATACATGGGGGTGTGGAGATGGGAATCAGAGATGACAGCCAGGATGATGAGTAGGTTCCCAAGGACAGACACCAAGTATATGGACAGGAACAGTCCAAAGAGGACAGACTGATGTTCTGGGTCCACATAGAATCCCATGAGGTAGAATTCTGAGACAAGTGTCAGATTTTGTGATTCCCTATTGCTAGGACACCTGCAAAATACAGAAGATCAAAACAAAAACAATAATATCATTTTGTAGGTACACTGACCAATTCTTCAATAGATAAGTAAATAGAATTATACATATATACACTTGCATGTATACTTACATACATGATATGTAAAAATTGTTTATTCATTATTTTTATATTGGTCTCTCTAGGTGAACCTGGATATTCTTGAAGTCATGGCTCTAGCAATTTTCTTGCCTCAGATTTGTGAACATGGGGATCACAAGTGTTGTC